CAACACTAACCACTCAGACTCTTTCCAAATGTTTGCTAAACATAATAACAGAAAGCTGATTGTCTCAGATTTTCGTTTATAGGTTACATGACATTTCGCATTAAATGGCAGACATTCCAATTACATCGTAGATATGAATATGTGACCTTCTGTTTGGTCGCAGACAAAGATAAATAAACAGATATATTGAACGTATTGAAGCACGAGTTGCCCTAGGCAATCTAGGATAATGTATGGACTGATGGCTAAATTTCTCAACATTAAATAAGTAGAAGACTTCACACCGCCATTGAATTTAACTTGTTCTTGCCTTTAAGAAGGCTTTTGCGTCCTGACGGAGCCACAATTATCACCCCGCCATGATCTCATCAGCCTCCCCACTCAATCGTGTATGTCAGGAGATAGCTTTATTACTTGTCGTGCGGCCTCGAGGGCCGATACTAAATAAAATTAAATGTCATCATGAAGCTTCCGGCCCATTTTAGTGAGAGAAATTCAACAAACCTTTCTTAGATCACCCTGAATAGCCTTGGGAGACTCGGGTCCTTAATTAAAATCAACTGATATATTTGAAACCAACTCATTTGCTATTTGGATCAATTATGCCTTTTAAATTCAGCGTGCCATGCAACCAAAATTTCACTTGCATTTGATGTGGATAGAAAACAGACAACCAAGGTCTATGGAGCCAAAAATATGAATTAGCTAAATACATGATTAACACAGGACACTGAATAGAAAGGCCCATATTTTGCATGATACAGAAGCTTCACATCTAAACGTAAGAGTAGGAAGTAAATGGAAATTAACAAAATGAAAATAGTCTGAATAGGAGGAAAGAGTGTAGAAAATGGAGAAGTAACTACTTGTCGTCAATGGATAGTATAAGAGAGAGGGAGCATGATGAACGACTGAGAAAGAGGAGGAGGTTCGATTAGCATGCATCTGGTTATGATACTCACATCTTAATTGATGCATTAGCAAAAACAAATCAATACAAGAATTGGTAAATATACTTTAGGTGAGGAGACCGATGTATGAGCCATCTAGGTACATATGTATAGGCATATAGAAAAGAGCAGGAAGTAGCCAGCTAATTCATGTGATGCCAACAGAATCAACGAGATTCGAGACTGAATACTCGAATTTGTCGTTAAACGCGACAATATTACTAAGGAGTAGTTTGGTAGTGTTCAAAAGTTTCAGTAGATCTTGCAGAACAATTATCAGCTCTGATAATACAAGCTGGCTCAGATAGAAGGCCTGTGACACTATCACAACACGATTAAATCATATTATTCGGCGTTCCAAGTTTTGCAAATTGCATGAGATTGTTATTAAAATTGGGCCCATAAAATGAGCCAACCATCTAATTATTTATAGCAAATAATTGATCATTCCTGTCAGCCTATCAAAAATTAGACGGTAACGATGGATTATTCAGAAGATATTTTCAATTATTATTCTATCTACATTAGTTTACTTATTTATACCGCCAAATTTAAAAAGATTAAACTTAGTAAACCTGTTTAGGTGAAGTGAAGAGATTTTTCACTTTTCGAATAAATTAAAATCCACACTGCATTTCAAAGTGTGTTCAGGTTCAGGATGAACGGTAATTTCGACAACTGCTAAGGTTCCAAAGCATAATGTACTCATACTAATAATTACTCCGAACAACAGCATGCGATCCAGCATGCTTGTTCACTTGAATGAGGCTACTTGATAGTCTCGACAATCTCATATAAACTCAACTTAGCATATTTTACTTATAATGGTTTCCTAGACGCATCATTTGATAAAATATCCCACTAGCTCATTTGCCTCCTGCTGATCAAGCAAAAATAAGTGTTCTTTATGTTGGAATACCATTTATTTCGTTTGAAGAGGCAACTTGAGGATATTCGCAAGTTGGACGGATTGCCCTGGAGCAGTGACTGTAAATTTGTGCAAATAGGTCCTCGACGCACCGCCCTGTGATCCCGACGAATCCTTGATGATCTTTCGTCCGTCATATGACAGAAATCGTTAGAGCAGAATATCGTGCTTTAAGCTAATTCACCAACCACAAAGTCGTATGCAATCATACCTATCTTTTAAAGCCTTACTATGTCCACTTAGTGGGACATCTCCTGATGTGGTTGGATATCGTATACTTTTCCCACATGCTGTTTAAAAGTGAAGTGACTGTAATTCCTCTCCATCCTATTGCAGAATCCCATGACTGGGTCGCAGGGCGATGAGCTAAGGACATATTCGCACAAATCTACAATCATAGCTCCAAGGCAATCCCTACACCATCAGATGAGGCCAATGTAAGAATCCTTAACACTCGCCTCCTTAAATAAAATAAAAGGTACTCCAGCATCAATCCATCAAGGGATTCTTCGAAAATCATTATTTACACATAAGTGTTCTTATTTCTCAACTGAACTATTAGCAGAATGGCATTCTCAAAATTCACTCGCCAAAAGCTCTACACACGAAGGCTGGCTATTAGGAATTCACCTAGACGACTGTTCCCCCATTCGTTCACTCTGCTTTCCCAAGGCCTCACCACCATGTTCTCTGAATGCATAATAGTTAAAATCGCGCCTGTCCACAGCATCTTTGTCCTTTGCAAATGAGTGTAACTGAAGAGGTGCCTCGAAGACTCTGTCTGAAAGG